GTATTGTCAGATTACTATGAAATAGTGTGTGTGTGTGTGTGTGTGTGTGTGTGTGTGTGTGTGTTAGATGTCTGTGAGATAGTTTCTGTGATGTGAACTTCAGTAATAAAATTTTTATCTATTTTTCTTCGTCCTTCTCGACGAGGAGGATTCATCCCTTTGTACGTGCGTGATCGAAACGAAATATTTTTCATTCGTCTTAAGTTGAATTTTTCGGGATAAATTTTGTAAGATTTATCCTGGTACTTTCAATAGTAGGATATTTATGTACAAATATTATGTAAAGATATTATTGCAGAGATAGCAGATATAAAAATTTTAATTGTAATCGCCCTTTTATTTTATTTATTTTCGTCCTAATTATTCTTCTCCTTTGCAGATCGACTACCCGGAACTGCACGGAGGAAGGATGCATCGACCACCGCACCCTCATCCCATAACTGACCATCGACAGGTCAATTTGGTCTTTGATGACACGGTAAACATCTGTTTTCGAACTCTTTCTCTTTTTTTCTCTGCTTAGGTGTCAAAAAATTGCAAGAGCAGATTTTAAGAACGCATTCATGCAGATAATCCTTTTTTGATTTGAATTCCTTCATATACTTCAACAAGCATCATGTTATAAATTCTTTTAGGCTTTGGTTAATTGTTTTCTTCAAGTGCTAATGCGTTAAATTTTTTTAAATATTGTTGCAGTATGAAATAACTTTTTAAACAGTCTATAAGAAATTTACTGTAATGCTGGAATTTGAATACTTGCTTTATTCTTAAATTTCACATCGTTGTCCCTCTTTGTCACCAAAATATCTTGGTCCCATTACATCCACTTCGAATTTTTTCTAGACTTTCAAAAATTCTGATAAAATTCAGAATACCTCTATTACTGATATTTCTACTTCGTTATGTTTCAATAAATTTTTAATATTTAAAAATTAAATTTTTGCATAGATAGTTATATATCTCGTTTGAATATGGCACAATCGATAGCAAAGTGCATTCATATTAGACACGATCGGTCAGAGTTGGCAGGTATCTACCGATAAATCAAGTCATGTGCACTTTTGCACATGATTTCTGATTCATTTCTCTCGCAACGGTTCACGATCATTTATCTCACGTCATCGTAGTTCAAATCGTTGAAAGAAAGTTTAATGTCGTCATTCATGATATACTTGCCCACGTGTTTTCTTCAATACAAAAAAAAAAAAAAAAGAAGGAAGAAGGGATATAAAAAAAATGGCGAGATCAAGTTGGAAGTTGGTTGCTGATAAAACTTTTAAAACAATCGTTTTTTATTCTCATTGTATATGCTTTCTCATGCATTTCAAATGCGTATCTTTCCCCCCCCTCTCTCTCTACCCCGTAAAGGAAAGTTTTATCAGTTTGTAAATTTTTTTATTTGCATTGATGCTTGTACACTGAAAATCACGAAGAATAAATAGCCATCATTGTAAAGTGAGAGAAGATATTTTGTTGAAAAATTTCCGTGCTGGATTATTTGGAAAAAATTCGATTTTTTTATGAAAATATGTAATATCGTTCTATTTTAACTTTTATTCCCCTCTATACCAAGATGACACAAATTTTCAAGATCCTTTTGATCCTTACTATAGCGAAATAGTGCCTTCTAATTTTAGAATAATATATGGTTGTTACAACTTTTTCTATTGTACCATTAAAAATCATAAATTTTATTTAATTCAAATATCATTTTAATTAGCTCCTTAAATAATTTATAATAATTTATATTGTATTGAAGTCTCTAAAAATGAATGTTCCTAAATTAATATACAAAGTATCTATTATTACTAAGATATAAATATATCCTATTCATTTTAAACTTTTGTTGTCAACAGCTAATAATAATGTTAATGCGTTAGATTTTTTTTCTTATTAATCTTTGCATCTTTAAATATAAAAGAAATATAAAAGAATTAATATTCACAATTACTCACTTGAATATTTAAATAAAAACTATCGAGTTAATATCGTTCAAAACAGAATATTAACTTCATATATTTATTTTCAAGAAAAGAATTTATAAATTCATCTTATTTATCTTTTGATTATATAAATTTTTTTTAACATTCTTTCAATGTTATATCAAGTAAATTGATTGTGAATTTCGGATAAAAAATTTCAGCATAGTTCCGCTTTCCCTTGTTAAGATTTTCCAACGTGGCGCTCCCGGATCGAAAGTTCGTTAAGGCGCAACGCGTGCGCGTAAGATGATCTACATTAGAGTGTCTGTGGAAGAGTCTGTGGAATGCTCATCGGTGGTATGCATTGGCATGTCAATGTCTGTTCGGTTGAGTAGGAAGAAACTGAATGAGAGAAGCAATTTGGAAAGTCTGTGGAGCAGGACAAAAGGAAAAGTGAGACATGGGCACGACATAACGGGTCGTATAAATCATCCGTCGGGTCGGCCAGTGGCCTTTAAGTTACTATCCGCTGTATTGGATGCTTTGAGCAGACCGGTACTCTTTTCTCCGAGTATCCTCTTTCTCTCTCAATCGCTTACCGACTGACGATTGACCGACCGTCGACTCCTTAAGCTCGTTTCACACGAACGATTTTTACGAAACCTCATGTTCATTTCATCGCAAGTTCAAATATACGCGCGAAAATTTTATATAATGTTCAATTGCTATGATAACAAGCGAATAATTTCTTCATTCAAGATGATAACAGTGTGATCGATGTTTAATTTTCCTTATTTATACATGATTAATTGTTTACGAAGAATCGTTTTATGTGTAAGATTTCATCTGAATACAATATGCATAAAAATATGTTTTAAAAATATATTTTTCGTAATTATTGTTTTCTTTAAATTTAAATGAAGGAATTTATAAATCAATTCAATAATTAAAAACTATTTCCCAATACGTTTGCTATTTCAGAAATACAAAATGAAGTGTTGAATGATGTAGAAGATTTTGCATATAGAAACAGTATATGATAATAAATGATTATTAATGAGATGCAAGTAGGCTGAAGCGAAAAATTTCGTCGAGGACATTTTCAACGCGTTATCGATAGCAGTGTTTTGTTAGTGTCACGGTCAGAAGCTACAGGTGGGCCCCCCAATGTGCGCCCTCCTATTGCGACGGACCTGGAGCTTGCCGCTCAGTTGGGTCACGTGACCCTACACTTTCGAAGGGAATGCCGGTGGTAGGATGAAGGGTGGGGGAGGGACAAGAGGCAGTCCCATGTCCGCTACTTTGCTAAGCTGACGGCCCACGACACGGGGCACACCAAACGCGCCACGAGCTTCGTAAATGCACACAAAGAAGGTCACATCGCGTTGCGTGTATATATATTCGCATATGCGCTCGCGAATGAAAGTGGATTTCGCGAGTTTGATCGAATCGTGGACAAGTAACGAAAAGAGAATGTGGTCGGATATTGGTTGTTCTTTATATTATTTCTCGTGATCTAAAACACGGAAGAATAGTGTCGAACAAGTGCCATTATTAAGACGATAGGATGGACGCCTTCGGCATGTACCAAGTGAGTCTGATGATCTCCCGCGATTCAAAATGGCCTTGGTTTACCGCGATATTTTCCTCGTTCTTAAGATTTCTTACGAACAATTCATCACTATGAAAGATCATAGATGATCGTTGATGATTATCGTGAGATGACAGATGTCACAATGTTTTTGTTTAGATATACGTGCCACTATTTCTATCTCTTTCTTGTCGTGTGTGTTTTCTCTGATCGCTCGATGTTGCGTGCGTGATGTCATGTCTGGCAACCTAACCTAACTTAAGAACAGAGCTTGTCCCCATCACGCCCATTCCTGGTATTATTCCGTAAACGAGCACCGCTCGTAGTACCCATGTTTTTGTCTTACATGTTTCTTGATCCCGTTCTTTGCAGCCTCTTCCTACCAATTGACAGATCGATGTCTGTGGATGATAGATTGCACGTTATTCACGTAGGTTTCTTTTGTATGAGAATTAAACGGGACAGTGCATTGATAATTTTATTGGATTGCACTATGCTATTGTTTACAATCTGTGATTATGCCGATACATCGTGATAAAGAATGTATTGCTTTCGATTTAAGATCGTCTGGCATGAACATTAATGTAAACACTTTAGTTTAGATATTTGATAGTGTAGCAATAACAAAGCGAATATGTTGATCATTTTTAATTAATGCAAAAATATCACGATGTACGTCAATGTTAAATTATACAAGATTCAATTATAAATACATAATATATTGTATTAATTGTATAGACTTTTATCAAAAAATTTTAATATTAATTATTGCAATATAGATTAAAATGTAATATAATTATGTAGTCAATATAATATAATAATTAATTGAATTTTCTTTTCTTGTATAGTTTTCTCAAGGCCTGACAGGCAGGCCAGAGTTGTATCAAAAGTCCAACAGAAGCAGCCATTCGAGTGACACAAGTTCAGCATATAGTGGTTCAGACACTATGACATCTGTGCAAGGATCATTAGATGCAGATCCAGATGCGGATGATGTTGATCTATCAGGACTTGTTGAATCTATAGTGGATAGTGATGAAGAAGAAGATCTTGCAGAAAGCATGGATGTAATTGATTTTTTTAAATAATTTTTTAATAAATGTATAAACTAAAAATAACAAATTACTTTTTATTTACAGAGCTTGACTGTCCGTGATCCTGTCAGAGAATGTTTAGAAAAAGATCCTATGGAAAGGACAGAAGATGATATAGAGACACTCTTAGAATTCACACAACAATTAAAGGCCTTTACAAATATGACTTTGGCAGTAAGAAGAGCGCTGTGCGCTGTGATGGTGTTTGCTGTAGTTGAACGTGCTGGTATGATAGTTTTGAATGATGGAGAAGAATTAGATAGTTGGAGTGTGCTTATAAATGGTGCTGTGGAAATTGAGCATAGCAATGGAGAAATTGAACAACTACACCTTGGTGACAGTTTTGGAATTTTGCCCACTATGGAAAGACTTTTGCATAGAGGTGTTATGAGAACAAAGTAAGTTTTATATTAGATATGTATTATAACATTCATGAATTGAAAACTTCATTAACATAATTTATTTATTTACTTTTTTAGATGTGATGATTGCCAGTTCGTATGTGTTACTCAGGCAGATTATTTCAGAATTCAACATCAAGGAGAAGAAAATACAAGGCGGCATGAAGAAAATGGGAGAGTAATTCTAGTAACAGAATTAAGAGGTGCTTTAGATGGAGGAGCACGCAGGGGTCATGTGGTTATTCGCGGAACTCCCGAACGTTTAATGTTACAACTTATCGAAGAAAACAGTATTACCGATCCTACTTATATAGAAGATTTCTTATTAACTCATCGAACATTTATTGATAGTCCCTTGTTAGTTGCAAGTCAATTGTTAGAATGGTTTGATCAAGCACAAGTCAGAGATAGAGTTGCTCGTGTAGTACTTCTTTGGGTAAATAATCATTTCACTGATTTTGAAACTGATCCAGCTATGATGGAATTTCTGGAAGCGTTTGAAGCTGGATTAGAAAGAGAAAAAATGCAAGGACAACAAAGGTATATTTCTGATAATTATATAATATAATTATATATAATTATATCTATAATCTGAATTTATGTTCTTTTGTATAATTAATAAGTATTTATTTTATTTAATAATTTATCAATAAATTTCAGATTATTAAATATTGCGTGTGCAGCAAAAGCGAGAACACGGAATGTAACATTAGCAAGACCAACTAGGGATGAAGTCTTACATTTTAGTATTTTGGGGGGGTATGAAAGGGGTTTCGGTATTTTTATTTCAAAAGTGGATAAAAAGTCAAAGGCTGAAGATGTTGGTTTGAAACGTGGTGATCAAATTTTAGAAGTAAATGGACAAAGTTTTGAACACGTGAATCATGCCAGAGCTCTTGAAATTTTAAGGGGATCTACTCATCTCAGTATAACTGTTAAATCAAATTTACTTGGTATGTGGCATCTTGTAGAAATAATAACTTACTGGATTATATTTCTTTTATGCGAGCAATGAATTACTGTTGTAGCGTTTAAAGAAATGCTTCAGATGCCAGATGATTCGCCAAGACCGCGGGGAAGAGCAAATAAATCCGAAATTTCAAGATTACAATCAGATCCACGTGCGAGGTTGTCTACGCATGTGGATACAGTAACTCCAGTAAATCCATTGAATCCTTTGGTGGGTGGTGTACCATTATTAATTCCTGATTCTAACGTTTCTCCTTGTAAAGATGCTAAAAAAGAACATAAAGGATTCATGACGCTTGGACCCAAAAAGAAATTACAAAAAGCTCTTATAAAAATGAATATACTGCCAAAGAATACTATTAAGTAAGTTGAAAATATATGTTTTTTTCTTCTTTTTCTTTTAATTAAAAAAATATTTTAAAGATATATATAATAAATAATTCATTTACAGTGATGGTGTACATGTAGATGATCCTCTTGCACCTCCTCATACACCACCGGGAACAGGAGGACTTGCACAAACTACTAATCTTTATCACTCAAAAAGTAATCCTGACCTTACGTCATTGTATTGCTATGATGACTTAAGGGCACCTGATTATCCAGAACATGTTCTAAAAGTTTATAAAGCTGATCAAACTTGTAAATATCTTCTTATTCACAAAGAAACAACGGCACATGAGGTAGATATTTTAATCTATAGAAAATATATATTAAAGTTTTCTATTCATGTGCTAATATAATATAATTTTAGGTGGTGATGCTTGCTCTTCAAGAATTTGGTATAACTGAAGGTAGTTCGAATTTTTCTTTAGCTGAAGTTAGTGTTGGAGAAGGAGGTATGATTAAACAACGCAGGTTACCTGATCAACTGCAAAATCTTGCGGAACGAATTGGTTTAAGTTCTCGATATTATTTAAAAACTAATGGTATTTCGGAGACTTTTGTAGCAGATGAACAAGCGCCAGAACTCATACGCGAATCTCAGGTTCATTTCTTACAATTAAATGCAGTTGAAGTTGCAATTCAACTGACTTTACAAGATTTCAGTATATTCAGGTAAATTAATAATATTATTCATTTTTTTGCAACTTATTTTTTATAGAATGGAAATATATTTATATCTTATTATTATTAGGCAAATTGAATCTACGGAATACGTGGATGATTTGTTCGAATTAAAGAGTAGATATGGAGTGCCAATGCTCAGGCAATTTGCAGAACTAGTCAACAGAGAAATGTTTTGGGTTGTGACAGAAGTTTGTTCTGAACACAATCTCGTTCGACGTAGTAAAATAATAAAACAATTTATAAAAATAGCAAGTAAGTTTTTTAGCATTTACAATCATCGATTGAAATATTTATATTATATAAATTTTTCAACATTTTCTTATTTATTGCAAACAGGGCAGTGTAAAGAATGTAAAAATTTCAATTCTATGTTCGCAATTGTATCTGGTTTGGGTCATGGAGCTGTATCCAGATTAAGAGCTTCTTGGGAAAAACTGCCAAGTAAATATCAAAGGCTATTTAGTGATCTTCAAGAATTAATGGATCCTAGCCGTAATATGAGTAAATATCGACAATTGGTAGCATCTGAACAAACGCAACCTCCCATAGTAAGTTTCTTTCATATTTTATTTTATTATTCAATTATTTTGTAAATAATGAAATAACGTGGAATATTTTTTTTCTTTTCAGATTCCATTTTATCCAGTAGTGAAGAAAGATTTAACATTTATACATCTTGGCAACGATTCCAGAGTGGAAGGTTTGGTGAATTTCGAAAAGTTGAGGATGATCGCAAAAGAAGTAAGAACATTAACGAATATGTGTTCTTCGCCATACGATTTATCGATAATGTTAGAAAGAGGTGGCCAGCCACCTAGTTCCGCCATGGTTGCGTTAAATCAAATGACAACTGGCAATCAAGGTAATTTAATTCGATTGTATAAAAATAGAGCCAGATATATGATGATTCATTTTTACTAACAGTGTTACAATGTCCAGGAGGACAGACTGCTACAGTAAAAAGACGAAAAAAATCTACCGCTGCACCAAATCCGAAAAAAATGTTTGAAGAAGCACAGATGGTTCGAAGAGTAAAAGCATACCTTGCCAATATGAAAGTAATAACTGACGAGGAACGGTTACACGCTTTATCTGTGGAATGTGAACCTCACGCGGGGGCTGCCACAGTAACTGCAGTACCTCTTAATGCGAGCAGAGGGAGGAGACATCCTTCTCCTACTCTATCGACTACAAGTAGTGCCAGCAGCACTAGCGAAGGTAGAAAGAGTATACAAGGTAGGGATTTTACTTGTTGAAATTTGATTTAAGTTTTATAAAGGGATAAGTATTAATTACATTATAATTTTAGGTACAAAGTTCGGAGCAGCATCGCCACAAGCAGTACGAAAAATGTTGGCGCTTTCCGATCCCCATAAAACTCGTCCCTACCAACCAAAACACTGTCCACCGCCGCTTCCAGTGCCGGGATTGGCATTACATTCCAGCGGATTGGAGCCTAGTCCCGGTGCACCTAGGAGAGTAGGATCTGGTAGCCGAGTTCCTATGCATGAGAGATCCCATAGCGATACTCCTTCCAGTTTACCACCACCTGTCGATCTCAGTGCTGAAAGTAGTAGCGTAACCAGCCTGAGCAATCTTCAGCCATTAAGAAAAACGTTGACCAGTGGTAAGTTGATTAATTTCGACACATGAAATGGTTCGAAGCGAGATGCTGTCAATCACCGTTTGATATACATTAATACATACATGCATACACGTACACGTGAATACTTTATAGTGTCAAGTTTTTTTCTGTGTCTCTATACATTTTGCTAGCTTTAGACGACAAATCACACGGTGCTTCTTTTTATTTTTCTTTTGAACGTTGTTTTATTGCGACATACGAAAGAGCAGACACATCTCGCGAAGTACCATTAAATGCACCTTTCATTGCTCGTGACCGTATACACTGGTCAGGTCTCGCAAATTCTAAAAAACTATCTCATTTTATATGCACGCTGCACAGCCGTTTACGCAATTCATAAATGTTCCATGTTTATATTTAGCTTATCCATTTTACACGCATCTTGTACGTCGATTACCGTAGCTCGCGCTTCTTTTCAATCAATATTATCGTCCCGTGTTATACACATCACGGTCCTGATCCCAGGGCGAAGCACGTCTAGCTTCAATTTAGAATACTCACCATGGGACATACGGATGCGTGAATCATCCTTCAGTAATTTAATCTTATTGCTATAGTCTTGTTTATGTTTTCTTTCTAAACATTTTTTATCAACAATTTAAATAGATAGTAATTTCAATTTTTATAAATTTTCTTAATACTTTCCTCAGTTCAAATTTATTAATTTAATTATAGGAAATAATTATCGCTCCTGGGAATCACCCTTTTGACAAAATCTCATTTTTCAGGACACTAATTATATATATATATATATATATTTTTTCAATTTCAATCTTTTTTCTTCGATATAACACGAAACTCATTTTATTATTAGAATTAGTTAATATAATAGTCGTTTACAGAAAGACGATCTCTGGTAGGCGTGCATCGAAAAACAAACGCTGTGCGAGCGCGACTTTTAATCGTGATATTTTCGTAGGCGTTAATGGCGTGTTTGTTGTGGCTCTGATTTTTCAAGTGAGAGAACGAGAATGAGAGAAAGATGCAGAAAGAGAGAGTGTTGCGGATTATCGTGCGTCTGATGAACGCGATTAATATTTGTTAGATAATTAGCAGTTAGCGGTCGCATCAGGGCGAGAACTGGGCTAGAATGTGTAGTGATAGAAGTGTCTTGGGGACGTGTGCGTAGGTTCGGTGACGAGCAGTGACAGTGGTCACAGTACACAACTGGACAGCCACAGCGGAAGCAGCGTAGAAGCTGGTGGTAGTCCACCGCCACCTCAAAGACGGCACTCCGCTATGCAAGGTACGTAAACTTGAACCAAAAGAGATCAAATAATTCCACAAGCTCGTGCTCATTATTCCTCTTGTTCCCTTTTTTTGCCCGCTCCGTAGACCGTAGTTTAGAAGGTAGAACCAAAGAAAGAATCTGGAGTGGTCCAATAAGATAAAATTGCCTTATTTTTTTTTTTTTAATTTCTTCTTTTATCTTTTATTTTTATTTTTTTATTCTTTTTTAAATTAAAACGTTGTTGATGACACACATATATATCGTATATGTGATTGACACCAATAATTGATTTGCGTGAAATTACGTTTCGTGGTACGATTGTTTCAATGAGTCTCTGTTTCCCTTTTTTTTTCTCTGTTATAATCGCAAAAGTGATCGTATAAAACAAAAAATTCTTTTTTTTTTTTTCCAGTAGTGTGTGACGTATAGTTATATATTTTTGGTAGTTAGTTAAACGAGAATGATTCGTTTTGGAAACGTGTGATATTTGTTGTATACGTCTCTTGATGACTATATATGAGTATCCTACGAGTAACTATCTATTTTTTTTATTTTATTTTATTTTATTTTATTTTTTTTTTTTTTTAATTTTTCTTCTTTCCCTTCCTTTTTTTTCTCTCTCTCTCGTTTGATGTAACTGAAGTAACTGAAATATTTTCTCATTACAGTTTGCCGTTACACACAGTCGTAATCCGTTTACTCGTTCGAATCATTCGTTTCACTGTCGGGTCACGATTAGATTTTTAACGTTGAAAAGAAAAAACGTATGTCCCATGGCCACTCATCTTCATTTCTCTTTCTATCATATGGTAGTTAAGATCAAAGAATTCCGTGCAATTTAAGCTATAGTACATAATATTACATATATATATATATATATGTATATATATACGTACACTTTTTTTTTTATCCTTTCCGGTAACATTATTTATTTACCGTTTAGCCGAGCGTTGCGCCGATAAAACGTATATAGGTAAACGTGCTTTATAGCCGCTTCTTCTATCCCGGGAGTTCGCTTTCAGTACATTTATCGCTTAAAGCTTTTTTCACAGAGACTCGCTTCTTTATTGCAGGGGCATTATTCACGCATACACGCATACATAAATATTTATAGTATATAACTTCGACCCAATTTTTCGCGATCTGTTACACTCGCGGTACTCACTCTAGGAATCTTCTTCCTTCACGTTCATAAAGGAAGTTGAAGTTTATTATTTCTTTCCTCTTTTCTCTCTCTCTCTCTCTCTTCGTTTTTTTTTTTTATTATATATATATAATTCATTCTCTCGAATAAATTGTACAAATCTCATTGTACAACAACGTTGTATAAATACATTGTACATTCTAAGATTTTCCCATCATATCCATTCCTTCCTAAACGTCTTTCTCTC